AAAAAAAAAAAAAAAAAAGACTCTACCGTTAGCTCGACATCTGAAGTTCGGCACCATTCTCCGGTCCTGAAACATGAACTTGAGCGGGAAGGTCAATGGGAGGGTCACGTGGACGCCCATTATCACACCGCCAGGGCGGCTGCTGTCCTTAAAGCTCGACGCTGGCCTCCTCCATGCCGGAGGTCCGGGGCTGCCCTGCTTTAGCCCGCGAGGCATGCAGACCCAGGGGCCCCCTTTTCCACAGGCAGGTTCGTGGCTGAGTGGCTCTCACAGGGCAACTCCACAGAGTAGTTCCAGGGAGCTGCAAAGAAATACTGGCAAAGACCCCCAACAGGACACTGGGGTGTGTTAACTGAAGAAGCTCTAAAATCTGCTTTTTTTCTCTTCTTCCTGGACACACAGCTAGACCCATTTCCAGCCCCTGGAGCGTGCGGAGCTCTCCCCGGCGGGGCCGTGGCCCCCCCGGCCCCCGGGTGGCCCTCATGTGCTTTTCCTTTCCTGGTTGGCTGCAGCAGAGGCCAAAATGGTGGGCCCCCCAAAAGGTCTGCACACATGCCGGCCCCTGGAATCTGTGCATGTGACCTTACTGGGCAAAAGGACCTTTGCAAATGCGATTAAGTTGGGGATCTCACGACGAGAGCCTCCCGGATTACGCAGGTGGGTCCTAAATCCAACGGCAGTGCTCCTGTAGGAGACAGAGGAGGAGACACGGAGAAGAGCAGGAGGCCGCGCGAAGGCCGAGGCCGAGGCCGAGTTGTGCCATCATGAGCCGAGGGACACCTCGAGCCACGAGAAGTGGGACGGGCAAGGGGGAGAGGAAGTGTGGCCCAGCCAACACCTGATTTGGACTCCGCCTCCAGAACCAGGAGGGAAGAGAATTCTGTCGTTTTCAGCCATCCCGTTTGCAGTAATTTGTTACAACAGCCACAGGGAACTAACAGGAAGTGACCCCCCGGGGGGGGGGGGAACGGAAGCCACAGGATGGAGGTGGCGCCTTGCAGGCAGCCTGGGTCCCTGAGGACTGTGTGGAGCACCCCCACCCACTCATCCCCTGCCTCCCTGGCACCACATGACCAGTTGGCCAGAAAGACTCCTCTGCTTGAGACTTTTAGATTCTGTAGGCTATAAAGTAAAACACTATTATAGTTTTACTGTAAAAATGTATTATTCGTCTTCATAAACTTTGTTCCATTATGACTCTTCAAGGCAAAGCTCAGAAAACACACGTTAAATGAAGGAGACGTTCTGGGGAGCCAGGGATAAGTGTTCTGGAACGTTCTGCTTTTTACTAAAGGTTCTTGTTTCTTCAGCCTAGAAACAGGAGTGGGACACCACGGGCGTCGCCCAGAACGAGCCCAGAAATGTGGTATTACTGAACCCAGGCCGAGCCTGGGGCTTGACAGGTGTCCGGGAAATGGATGCCTTGGGCCCCAACCCTGCCTGATCAGCCCCTCTGTTCCGATGCTCATATCAAGGAGGGAGAATTACCTGCTGCTGAACAATCTGGACTCTGGAACCATCTTCCCTGGATTTAAATTCCATTTCTTAACTATTTTAACTCCTTAATTTCCGTTTCCTCGTCTCCATAATGGGGATAAGCAGGCTGGAGTTGGAGGGGCTAATACACTGTATCCTTGTCAACCACATTTTGAAACAAACGAGAAAGAACAGTCAAGGAGAAAGGAAACACCGGGGCTACTGTTGACCAGCGGCGGGCTGGAGGGAGGCGCTCAGCCATGTGGCTAACCCGGGGGACCACCGGCAGGTAGGCAGGTCTCGTCACCCTGGCAGGGCTGGGTCTCCACTCCCAGAGCTCCCCGCTGGGCACGGAGGGAAGTCTGCCTTGCCCACAAGGGCATGTCTGCACTCAGAAGCTCCCACAGGCCCAGCCACCGGGTGGCTCACACGGCTCCCGGCACGACGCGCGGGCCCTGCTGGACCTCCCTCAAATCCTGGGCCAGGCACACGAGCTCAACTTCTGCAGGCCCATCGCTGAACTTGGGGGATGGGGGTGGGGGCGGCAAGAGACAAACGTGGGTGCCAATCTATCCCCACTGGCTCCAGGTCGGCCTTGCCCTCTCTCACTTCACGTCCAGCTTCCTTCCCGGCTGCCCCGTGCCCCCTGCCGCCTACGAGCCCAGCACCGCGAGGTCCAAGCCTGATGCCAAATCCCTTCTGCTCTCGCACCCACGGGCCGGGGTCTGACTGGACTCCCAGTACCGACCCGTCAGTCCCGCTCCAGCCGGGGCAGGGCTCAGTGCTGAGGCTGGGGCACCGGCTCTCCAGGGGAGCACAGGCAGGCCCAGCGTGCAAGCCCCGAACACTCGCGGGGCTGCACGGCCGCAGGGGCGGGGAGGACACGCGCCCGAAGTCGCTGCTCTCACCGCTTTTACGGGGGTTCCTCTCACGCTATTCCCCGCGCTGCCTCATCACTGCGCTCACACACATACAGATAAAATCTCTGCTAGCGCCCGGATCTGCTTTCTTTTTTTTTTTTTTTTT